TAAAAACCATGAATTTGCCTGCAAGGAGTGCCAAAGTGCCTATATCGTACTCACCACAGTTGAGAGCAGTCTGGCCACCCATGCCCAGAATTAATCCATCAGGACGTTCTGCTTTGATGACCTCTGTGACAAACTGTGGAGTGATGGGGAGGAAGTAGACAGCATCAGCCTGCTTTAAGCCAGTCTCATTGGTCTGTACTGAAGCAATATTGGGATTCATGAGGACAGTTTTCACATTTTCTTCCTGACAAAATGAAAATCTGCATTAAAAGTAGGAATAAGTGGAAAAAGATCTAACAGCAGCAGCAAGGAGAGATGGGGTTCAACAAGCAGTTTACCAACAGCAGCATTTAAAAAGCCTGGTTACCTATGTACTCTCCCCTAAGGGATCCCTGGTATCTTGGACTAGGCTGAGCTACTGCCAGTTCTCTACTTTTGTGCCTCTGCCTGCCTGTGAATCTTGAGGGAATGGAGATTCCCACCTGATTCAGATATGTGGTTGAAATAGTTTAGCACATTTAGGAGTTACGCAAGGGAGACAGGAACAAACTCCAGCATAATCATGTGTGTCTGCTGTTGGAAGTCAGACTAAAAGTCACCAGAAACACTAACCAAAAGCCAGTCTTTTCTTGCCAAGCGGGAGATCCTGTGACTGTGGGTATCCAGGTAGTTATCAGATTTGGTACCAACTAGTAGCAGTACAAATCCACATTTTTTGCTTTGACTTTTCCCAAAGATACTTTTTCTTGGTGTCATCGCTTTAAAAATCTTGTCCCATAACATTTTTATTTGATACTGCACACACTAAAAAGACAAACTCTGCCTCTAAATGCAAGACAAAGGTTAGCCAAAACTTCACACTGTGTTTTCTCTGTCACAGATGGGAAATTGAGATAGGGTGATGATAAAGTTTATCTGTTTCCTGCTATAGCAATGGGAGTTTTGCCACTTTTGGCTACAGACATTCACTACAGTTGGCTCATTAATAAAAAAGTCTGAGGTGGAGCTGGGCAGATCAACTCTCCTCATATAGTGAATATTAGTGTGTAATGAAGAAGCCAACTAAGTTTTGCTAATAATGATGAGACCAGAAAGTAGACTAGCTCAAAAAAACCCATGCCAACCACAAGAAGATAAAGAAGAGTGTATTAGTGCTTTGCTGGAAAGGAGGATTGGGAAGAGCAAAGGCTGTGGTCTCATTTTTACAACTCACTCTAATCTCCATCGACTTCTTGTAAAGCAATAAACTTCTACAAACAAACCATTTGCCAACAATGTTAATTATAGATGCGAAATACATCTTAATAGAAAGATCTGTGATATGGAAGTTGCAGAGGTTAAGAAACAACTATGACTTTAATTAAAAACAGGAATTGTGAAGATAGTAAAAAATGAGTAATAAAACCCAGGAAAATGTTGGCAGATTCAGTCAGTCATTCCTCAAGCAAATGCTATGGAAGTCTTATTGGGACCAGTATAGAAATTGCTATTTTTGCCCAGTTCACAATAAGCATGAAAATGCCATAGGGGTTTTCTGTGTTTGTTTAAAATTTGTGAGTGCTTGACCCATTGGTTTGAGGGAACAAACATATAGTTCACCAGGAGCAGTGGGATTCTCACGCAGAGCTCTGACTGCTCAGTTCAGGTACAACCTTTCTGCTCCGTCCTTTGATAACTTAAAATACTGCCTTGAAGACCAGCTGTAAATTTTTGCTGACCTTCTTGTCCCATGAAACACACTTTCCTTGGAAATGTGTGGTTCAGGGAAGGGAAGGAAGAGAGAAAATCCTTATGGAAAATTTAGACAAGTGACTCCAAACTGGGTAGTTTTCATGGTGGTGCTGAGGGAAAAGGGGAGATCTCTGAGCAAATCATTCTTCTCTAATAAACATATTCAGAAATTCACAGCTATAATTCTGTGGCAATGAATGGAGGAGGGAGAGGTATCTCGCTTGCCAACAAGCTGGAGTATCTGTACATCTCAGCCCTTTCTTCCCTATTTATCTGGGGCAGGGTGTTTAAGGACCAGCTAGCACTGCTAAGGAAGATAATTAGTGAGAGGATTAATGATCACTGTTGTTAAGAGAGACAGATTTTACTGATATATTGTTTGGGATGTTGGATTTTAATCCACTCACTGTTTGCCCTTGTAACCCTTTCCTCCAACTTCTGCCTTTTTAAACAACGGCCACCCATCTGGATTGGAGACCTCTGTTACAGCTTAAGACAGTGCATTACTAGCACTCCAGGAGGGTTCCATTCCTCTTTTGGTGTAAATCCACCTGTATTCAGAGCAGTTGGGAGAATTCCCACAGCAAGTAACCCAGAATCACAGAATGGTTAGGGTTGAAAGGGACCTTCTTAAAGATCATCTGATTCTCATCAAATCATCCAAAGCAATGACTTCTCATTCATTCCTTTCAAGATTATCAATCTATTCTGGAAACAAAACTTGGCATACATGACCTTTAAAAAGTTCATCCCATTGGAAATAAACAGCATTTAGAAAACCTGCCTTGATAAGGGGTTCAAAATCTTTCGCATAACAGTCGTGACAGCAGCCAACCATTTAGCTGTTATTTGTCTGCATTGCACTGTGTTGGCATACCACAAAAGTTTCAGTAATTGCAGCTCAGTTGTTGCTGACCACATTCCTCCTATTCAAACTTAAACAGGAAAAGTTTAGGTTAGATATAAGGAAGAAGTTCTTTACTGTGAGGGTGCTGAGGCGTTCGAACAGGTTGCCCAGAGAAGTGGTAAATGCTCCATTCCGGGCATTGTTCAAGGCCTGGCTGGACAGAGTCTTGAGTGACAAGGCCTAGTGCGAGGTGTCCCTGCCCATGGCAGGGGTGTTGGAACTAGATGATCTTAAGGTCCTTTCCAACCCAAACCATTCTGTGATTCATTTCCATTGATTTTGACAAGCTTGGAGTCACCAGTCACACATCTCAAACAACAGACTGCTTGAAGACTGCAACGGAAAGCTTGAGAACCTATCTCTTTGGAAGATAATTCTGAGTGGTTAACTCGCATCACTCAACCAACAAGTTCACAAACAAAAAATGACTAAATTCCCCTACAGCCATTTTTGCTCACCAGCTTCCCTGCCCCAGTGATCCCAGTCAGATGATCAATCAGTTGGGAGAGGGGAAAAGTAAAATACACGAGGTTAGTATTTTCAGAGCATCCTCTCACCTTCATGGCTTTCACCGCCTGGGATCCAGAGTAATCAAATTCCCCTGCCTGACCAATTGACAGACCCCCAGATCCTAGAATGAGGACTTTGGAGACCTAGAAATGTCAAAGAGCATGGAAAAAAAATCAGTCCTGTCACAGAGGATATTGGAATGAACAGACACTGTGCTGCACTGAACAGTCTGAAGTTACAAACCAGAAGTCTTAAATAGAGAAAAGTCATGTACAAAAACACTACAGTTTTACTTCTAAGAATATTTCTGCTGCACTTGTCCCATATATCTCTGCTTAGAGAAACACATGACTTATGTGTAGGGCATACAGTAAACCTGTTAGTTGTATCGTTAGCTTATTAGACAACTATGCCTCACTTTGGCTGCCCACAACATCCAGCTGCCTTCTAAGATAGCAACACTATGAAATTCAGCTCACGCTAAGAATTTCAGACTTATTTGCTAAGCAACAGGGCATCAACATTATGCTGCTGGCACAAAATCTCACAGCCAGATTATCCCAGGGCACCTCACATACTGCCATGAGAGTACAAAAAAAACTTTCTCAAAGAAAAAGGAGTTGTTAACACATGAGACCTCTGACGACTGTGAGACAGGCAGTTGACAGGTCTTTTGTAAGGGAAGCCTCCACTGACTTCCCTGGTCAGCTTTTTGTGCCATTTTGTACCATAGGGTCAGTAGGAATTAACAAGTGCCTCACTGACAGGCATGAGTAATGAGTGTCTGTACACTGACCTCCACTCTGGAAGCTGTCATTCCAGCTCTGGGCAGGACCGAGGAAACAGAGCCTTTCCCTCTCTTAACCAGTGCAATAAATGAATCAAATAGGAACTAGGAAAAATAAACACAGGTATTTAATCACCAAAGTGGAACTAAATAAATGCCAGGCTCTCAGCTCTGCTCTGCTGCCTTCAGAAGGTAGATTTACACCGTCAGGGAAGAGGGGATCATTGTTTGAAATTTATTTAACAAGTCTGACATATCTGACAAAGCTGCATTCAAGGAAGTGAGGTCATATCAGGAAGAAAACACTTATCAATCACATCTCTATGCTCTGCTTGGATATGGCTGGCAGCGCAACAAATGAATGTGCATTAAAAGCTCAAATGCAGAAAAGCAGACACTTAACTAGCTCAAAGGAACCATCTGGAACAAAGCCTGCTGCAGAGCTGGGATCTGAACAGGTATATCTAAACATCAGTTGTGCTACATCAGTATTGTCCTTCCAGAGGAAGCTACACACAGTGGGACAGGCTTCCCACCTGACCACACACTTGAAGAGCTTCTGTCCACACCGCTCCTCAAGTTGTCTGCTGGAAATTATGGAAGGAGTACAGATGGGTCCTGCAAGCCCATCAGGATAGGCACTGTGTTATAGAACCCATCCCAGCAGTGGGAGTGCACAGACTTGTGCTGAGAGACAAGACTCAGCTGAGGGTTGTTTCAAGTTCTCTAAGACTCACTAGTCAATCAAACTGCTACAAAACTTCTTGATACCAAGAGATTTACTTGAAGGTTTAATCAACATCATCAAATTAAGATTAAAATAAGCACTTCTATGTATTCTTCCATCTTCCTCTCTCAGGCAATGCTAAATGGTTTATTTATGTTCAGACATGCCCCCTTTGCATTCCGCATCCCCTGTTGCTGCTTAGTCATCCTCTGTGACTACACAGCCAGTTGTTACAGAGTTTGTGCAAAGTCACAGATGGGGGATTAAAATTTCATTTCACTTAGGAGAACCAAAGTGAGGAAGTGTGAATCCATTTACATAACTCTACAGTAATTATAAAATTTGAAAGTGGAACTAAAATGTATTAGAAAGTTAATGGTTTTATTACAAAGCATCTGGCTGGCATTTTTTCCTGTTAAGATAAAAACCTTTTCCTTTTGCAATCACCCCAGGTACAAGAGATTTGAGCCTGATCCTGCAAAGGCTTAAACACTTCAGTAACTTCCAACACACAGATAATCCCACCAGGACTCAAAGCATACACATCATATGAATGGAATCGTTGATCCAAAGCATACAGAAGTCAATAGATGCCTTGCTGTTGATTGTAATTAGCTGGGGATCAAGCTAAGCAGACACAAGTCTATGCATGACTGAGCCCTTTGTTAGGATCCCAACATTTCAAAGCCAAGATTTGGGACTGTCACCAACATAAAGACTTGTCACTGTATCTGATACATATCTGCACTCCCTAGACTATCTCTGAAAGCAAGTTCATATCAGCCTTCGTACATACCTCTGTGTCCCTTGGCCCAGGATTTGCATCTGGGTAGAACTGCGCTGTGAAAATGGGTCTGGTCTCATGCATGATTCCCTGCAGGAATAAAAATGATAGTCTCAGGCATTTCCTTGCTCCTTCCCATGGGGGAAATGGCTTTTGAAAATACCTTGACTGATATAAATTACAACAACGGGCCAAATTAGACAGCAATAATATTCCTTTTCTGTGCTGGGTAACACAGAAGCAACAGAACAAACAGTGACACAGGCTGTGACACCTACGGCACCAGCCCTAAGACAACAGTAAGTGAGTGAGCACCACTGATGGTAGGGAGATCTCAAAAGTTAGTAAGGCAGCTGTTCAAGGGAAATCATAGGATCACTGTTGCAATCTTACACTTTGGGCGAGTATGGAGAACAGTGGTAATGGCTCAACCCCTTTTGGCCTGTCAGGCAAAACCCCAAGTAAAGCAGATGGTCAGATCACCAAGTTTAGCCCTAATAACTAATTGTAATCTGACAGCAAGCTTCCAGGAGGTGAAATAAAGTGATAGAGAGGCTTCACTCACTAGAGGCTGCTATGTTGCACATAGGTACCTGGAAAGCATGAGCTCACCTCATTTGTTTGATCATTGGCATTCACAAAGAGAGGTTTCCAGCCAGGTGGGAGGGTAGAGCTGTCAATAGCATAACCATGGTTCTGAGCAGTGATGACAGCCTGTCCATTCACTGCATTCAGGACAGGCTGGTTCTGTCCTCTGAAAGAGAAAGGATCAGAGAACCAAGGGCAGAAGAGTCAGATGTGTCCAAATGCCACTATCAGAGCAGATAACTCTGGGGCTATACAAAGCAGTTCAATAATAGCTGTTCAATACTAGCAGCCAATCTCAAAATGATAAATCCTAGGAGAAGCTCTGCTATCCTTCAGTTTGATGGGGATCAATTACATCAAAAACTTTCAAAACACCCTCAGAAAAAGTAATGCATGACATGGCAGTTTAAATTAAAAGCAAGGAGAAAGGCTGGAATGAAAAAGTAATGTTACTGACATGCTATCTCCCATTAAGTCAGTTCAGAAGCAATACACTGCTGCTCTGTGGCCTTTTGCAATGCTGAGCTGGTCTGTCTGCGCCCTGGGAAGCAGAAGAGCTGCCATACCTGTTGGCCATCTGCATCTTGTAGGAAGTAGCTCCAGCTGCTATCCCAGTGATTAGATGCCCCATGCTAATTCCAAACAAGGGCTCTGGACGATTGCTCTCCAGGATCTAAAATGAAAAGGTTTTCAGGAGATACTGAAGTGTCTGTGTTCAGCAATTCCAGCACAAACCATGCCAGTTCCCTCACAACCTCAGGAAAAAGCTGATGCAAGGGTGGTAACAGCCTACAAAGGAAAGGTTTCCTCCTCTCCTCTGAGAGGGAAGCCTCAGAGCATGGTTTGACATCTCAGTCTACTCGAGGGAATATACAATGACATTACAGCCATTTAGTGTGTGACACTGCTTCAGATGGGAGCACTGTGAAATTTGGGCTGTCTTTTCATAAGGTCAGAGGTCCTGAAAGAGCACAGGGACTCTGAGGCACTGGTAAGGTCATCACAGTAATCACGTCTACTATGTATTGCTCACCAAGGTCTGTATAGCCTTATTGTAACCCCTGGTCTGGAGGCAACTCGCAGTGGACCAGGATGAGGAATATCCCAGGCAGATGAAATCACTTAACAACATTTGGTCTGTAACATGTTAGTACAATCAACTGTTTAGAAGTCAGGCACTTGAAAAGAGGGGCAAAGAAGAATAACTGGCCTACAGCTCTTACACTGTACCTTTCTGACATTCTGAATCACCTCCTGAGCCTTCATGGGATCCCCTGGACCTCCAGAAATTATAAGCCCATCATACTCCATGCTGGTGAAATCATGGTCCCATGGAACCAAATGCACTTCTGCACCTCGCTAGGAAGAAAAGACAGGGAACAAGAAACGAGGGGAGGACAGGAACAAGTGGATTTGTGTTAGGAGGTTGTTCCTGTGCTCTCATGTCCCAGACGTTGAGTTTGGATTTCAGTCATCCCTTTGCCAGGGACAATAGCGATAGATAGACAGATAGCTTCTCTCCACTATCTGACCAGATTATCTTCACAAAACTGGTAGATTTAGTATCTTTGAGCTACCTCAGTGTTTGTCAAGTTTGTCTGAAATTCACTAAGGACATCAAAACTTACTAATGGAATGCAAAAACAAAGCATGTATACATGCACACATGTAAAATATGGTCACTTTTATACAGTGCATTCATCCTAACTGTTAAATTAGGGCTTCACAACCTCATTCTGTGACATGCAAGTAATAGTCCTGCACATCAAAAATGGGAATAGCCACATAAACTAAAGAACAAAAACAGGGAAACCCTGTAGATCTAGAGAATGAAAGGACACCCCCTTTAATCCACTTGTGTGGCTACAGAAGGGAGGACTGCTCCATTGCTGTGCTAAGAGGAAAATATTTTCACAGAATCAAAGACTTAAAGAATAACTCAGGATGGAGGGACCTCAGGAGGTCACTTGCTCCAATCCCTGCTCAAAGCAGAGGTAATTTCAACTTTAGGGCAGGTTGCTAACGGCATTGGTCAGATGAGTTTTTAATATCTTCAAGGACAGACATTCCACAGCTGCTCTGGGCCTGTTTCAGCCATTCACCATCCTCACTGCAAAATCTTATCCCCCATTTATTTGTTTTTTACAATGTTGCCTTGACCTTCTTTGCTTGTTCTTTAGAGAAGCTGTGCCTTGTCTTTTTAAAGCTCACCTAGGAATTCCTCTCACGGCTGAGAGGTTGCTGCACAGGTCCTGTTCCTTACCTCCTCAATACAGTGCACCAAGTTCAGAAAACACCCCCATAAAAATCCTCCTAAAAATTGTACCTCGTTTTAGGAGCACAAGTGCTACTGGAATGGATGTGTCCAGGTAGAAGGAAGGCTAGTGAGAATAGGCAAGGCTTTTGCCACAGCAAAACAAGAGATGAAGGATGTAAAGCACTGACCTACCTTTACTAGCAGGCGGATAATGTTGTACTTCAGCCCACAGTCGACAGCTACAACTTTAATTGGATTCCCCCGGCCATAAACCTTGACTTCCTATAGAAAGACAGACCATGCTGTAAATGACAGATCACTCCCTGCTCACAGAACACAGGGAAGACAGGGAGGAGAGTAACATTTCACCACCACATAGGGACTAGTACTTAACAATCAATTCACAGGGAAATCTCCAGAAGCACTGCAGGCATTAGCACTTCCTTCATTTTTCTGTGAAAGTAGAAGTTATAATGCTCTTTTATACACTGTTGATTACAGCAATTCCTAAGAAATCACTTGTTTCCATAGCTAATGACAAGCTTTTTTCCTGTGTTTCACCTCATTAGCAGTGAAGCAGCAAGCCAGTTCTCACTGATTAGTGCAGCCCAAGAGAAACACCAGATACAGGGCGAGAGATTTTCAGCTGCAGTCAAGTCATCCTGCTGATGCCAGTGGAGCTTCACACCAGCTGCAGATCCATCACATATCCACCACCCTGACCCTCCAGTCACAGTAAGACCAAAGTATAGCACAGCTGGAGATATCCCCTGAATGACCTCCAGTGCATCACAGCAGTACAGGCCAGGCTAAGCATGTCACTGAGCATGGCCTATGTTCATATGGACCTGACAGACTGATATATCAGACATTTCACCTCCTCCTCCAGA